TCCACCAAATCCTACTATAAAGGAAGTAAACTGGGTTGATAGGGTGCCTTGCCTCTGTAATATCCTATATAGATCAATCAATAGATCGAATTCTGTGGTTATTTGAACGAACGAACAAAATTCCTGGGTTCTTATTTTTGCTTTCAAAGCATCTGTAATTCCATCGCCGTCTTCATCAAGGTCATAAAATCCCTTCATGTTTCTCTTTGTAACAGTCAAGTTCCCTTTGATTGTCGCCGATGAAGATGATTCTATCTGAATTGTTTCAGGTTGAGAAGTAAACTAAAGCTTGAATCATGGGAGCTTGTTGTTCTTGTTTCCGATTCCGGGAGCACGAAGTTGCTTCCCCTCGCCGGACTCCGAACAGTATCAATGCCTTGTGGGACAAGGTATGATTTCAAATTATATTGTCTCTTGCATCATCCGGTCTTATTAATTATTTTTCTGTCCGCAGTTTACCGGAGTAAACGGAAACAAGCAATCGATCAGACTTGGAGCGCAAGGAAGACCGACATACAAGAAGCTTGAAGCCGAGGTTACTTGTGCCGATGCATCATCAGAAGACGAGGATGTTTGTCCCACATGTCTTGAAGGTATGCATATAGATAGATAGATTAAATTGATAGATCAAGTAAATTGACGGGGCTTTAATGCACATCGGCTAATCGACTGACGTCGCCGATCGGTTCTCGGTCGCAGAGTACGATCCCGAAAATCCGCAGATAGTTCTTCGATGTTCCCACGGCTACCACCTTGGTTGCATATACGAGTGGATGGAGAGATCAGCAAACTGTCCGATCTGTGACAAGGTAATCTGTTTCTTACAAGCTCCTGCAGTTGTTCCATTTGTACAACATCATTAAACATTGTTGTTCTTCGGATTTTCCAGATGATGCTATTTGATGAAGTTTGATCGGATCACAGGAGACACAAAACATATGATAAATTTTGAATATATATATATATATATAATTACGAAGAATCAAAGTTTGAATATTAGGAACCAAAGACTGTGGACATGGATTTTTCTCCATTAAAGCCCTTTACATCGTTAGATATTGTCAATTGCGAGATTTTTTTATATCAAAATTTATCATTACAAACGATGAATACATTCTCAAAACCTTTATTTATAACTTTCTCTATCATTTTCTCAAGAATCAAGCCGAAAGTTTATTTTTCATTTGAACGTAAATATCGTTAGAGCACAAATATTACACATAGACCGATCTAAATGACATTCATGTGTCGGGTCTCTAAATTTTGGGACCATAAGACGGATCACATTCTACAATTTTCGTTAGACGCGCAGCTCCACCACTGAAGTCAACTAACTGAACTAGTCTCAAAACCTAAAACTTAGCCCAAACTTATCAATTTAAACTTTGATTTTAAGGTTTAAGATCTAAGCTCACATGATTTAGGGCTACATGAAGCAACACTTGTCCATGGAGGAATCTTGGAATATCTAGTGTAACAGATACCTCTCTTTGTGCCCTAACCCTTCCCTCCTAAAAAATCGCAGATATCCCTAATTTTCTAACTGCAAAAAGTTACAAAGTTTCATTATATATATATATATATATATAACCCAAAGGTTTCCATTCTTTTGCTACTTCAACTGATATAGTTACAGTCACATTTTCAAGGTCTCCTTTTTAGCCTGAAACTATTAACATTCCCTTAATTTCACCTACTAAAACATCTGCATGAAATCCTGGAAAACTGCTGAAACCAATACATTCAAATGACTGGGAAACCCTGTACGGGATCATGGATCCTTCAACGGGCTATAGAGAGAGAAAAAAGCTTAGATTTTTGCAGAAAAAAGGCACCCGGAATCACTGGAGTATTCAAAGACCTTGCCTTTTTTGGAGAAGACGATCAAAGCGACCTCAGCATCGCACAAAAAAGGAGATCTCGTGAGCTTTCTTCAACAACCCAGCTCTCCTCTTAGAGAAAGTGACTTGCCAGTTGATTTTGTTCTCGATCCTCTTCAAATGAACCCTAGCTCTCCCCATGAGCTTGCTGCTTCTTGGTATTTGCTGAATGTGAAGCTTTGGATCTGAGAAAGCATGCACAGATATATTTATATATAGAATTGGAATCTGAAGATAAAAAGAGAGAAAACTGAAAGCAAAAGTGGTTTTAGGGGATCTTGGAGAAGATTTGGAGTTAAAAACCGAAGTGATTTTTAAGGATGTGCTTTCGACTTCTCATTGGTTGGAATATTTTATTTATGGGTAAATTATGACTTTAGTACATAAACGTTTATTTTGTTTCAAAATCATGCATAACATTTGGTTTTCATTTCATTTTAGTATTCACCGTTAAAAATTAAATGTGTTTAGTACCTAAACTATTAGTTTTTTATTTGTTTTAGTACCTAAATTTTTAACCTTTTTACAACTTAACATTAAATTTTGATGGGGGTACTAAAACGAAACAAAAACTAAAGTTTTCAATGGCATATACTAAAATGAAACAAAACCTAAATTTTACCTCTGATTTTAAAAAAATTAAAAGTTTAGGTATTAAAATAGACTAAAACTGAAAGTTTAGATGCTAAACACGTAGTTTATCCTTTAGTTATTTGTTTACATGTTTTCTTCGTATAGATATAGATGTCGTTAGAATCCTGTACGGTGACCCCTCGTTGTCACACACTTCCCGACTGACGGTGGCGATTTTTCCCTCTTCAATCCAAGATGTTTTCTTTATACATAATGTGTTGGTGTAACTTTTATTGATTTAAATATATAATATCTACCGACAACCAATTGACGTAATGGGATGAGACACTAAATCTCTTAAGTAAGGTCAAAGATTTAAATCTCGACGATTGTGAATGGAATAAATTGAATTAGAAAAATCGTCATTGTCTTGAAAAACAAATTCTCTACGTAGACATAAATCTAGTGAAAATAAGGCAGCCCTGCTCTAAAGATGTCAAATCTTAACAGCATGTTCATAGTGGCCATGCATTTTTCTTTAGGTAAATTACACGTTAAGACCTGACAATTTACATAAAAACGACGTCGTATGTTTAAATTCAAGTCCAATATATATATATATATATATATATATATATAAACATTATAGGAGTAAACACTTGGTATTCTTAGTTAGTGTCCAACAATGTTTTTACAGCATTGGAGCTTCACCCCACACTTGAAACTGTGCATGCATGCATCCTCCATAAGAGATGCAACGAAATAAAAGCTGGGATCTGCTTATTACTGTCTATTCTTAATTTCCAATCACTTTATGTGAGAAAATATGGAGTTCTCTTGATGAAAGCTCAAACATTAATCAAAGTATCCAACCAGGGATAAATCCACCTGGTGCAACTGCAGAGCATGGAGCAGTATCCTCATCTGTAATATTACTAGGATTGTACCTGCACTGTAAAGGCTCGAAAAATCCATCCGACCGAGGTGACAGCGGCGGCGGATGATTGTATGGATTGCTTGGCTCCCCGGTTTCCCATGATGATCGTATTGTCAAACTATTTTCCTCCAGCTGGAAAAATATTGTAAACGTAACGGATGTTATTAAGATCAAATACGGTAAATATTAATGATTTTGAATGTATTTTTTTACCTTCTTTATGCATATTTTCACATGAATAAGCAGCTCTTATTTTATGAACAGATATGAGTAAGAGAAACAGTTTAGTTTTGCCTCTGTGAATGCTGAAGGACCTCAACTTTTGCTTTCAGCTTCAAATATTCCTGGTACTTGCTCTGCTCGACATAAAATGAAGTATGAATCCCTTGAACCTAAGGCTGAAATGGAAGAGATCAAGAGATTAATGTACCTGTGTGTCAATTTCTGATTGAACCTGATTCCAATGCTCCATAGGTGCAGCTGTTGTACTTCTCAAGTATCTTAGCTATGCTGCTTGCATAAAACATCCCAAAGGTTAGTATATGAAATTCGAGCCAAATCAGAATCGAACACACACGAAGATCCGGGAGCTCGACATGTTGGTAATGCTCAATCCCTCATTGAGTGGGAAATACATTGGGATTGGGTATTTAAGGTTTATATTCTCCACTCCCTTGTTGAGTGATAGTGAACAAGGGGGGCTTCTCGCACGCTATTGCTATCGCCGCCTCCATCTTTTCTCATGGTCGTGGCCATGGCAATACATATCTTCAACATATCCACGCGGATCCTATTTTTTTACGAAAAAAGTCGTAAGGAATTTTTCTCCTGAAAGATCAAATGGAAAAATAGGCTCAAATGATCTGTTCGAATTTTAAATTTGCAGAGAGTTACAAAGCTTTAATGCAAGAGTTACAGAGATTTATTACATGAGTTACAAACAGTTGGATTTATATCCACGAACTTAAACAGAATTGAGGTCAGGTTTATTCGTTTGTATAACAACTTTAGACAATGAATTAATGCATAAATAAATCATATTTTACATATGGGTTTCAAATTTTTCCTTTAAATTTATTATTCCCAGCCAGTGCTAACGATATGATTCTGCGATCCGTATTTCCAACAATTTAGAAACGAATTCCTCTTGATATACTACAAAATATTGACACCACTTAGAAAGTTGATTCTAGATTTATCAAAGCTCGATGCTCTTGACGGAAACAACTATCGAAGGTAGTCCCAGCTCATCTTTATATTCTTCGTGCAGCTTGATCTTGATTACGTGCTGCTCAAGCCTCCACTGACCTCGTCGATGATCCCGACTGCCGATGATGTCGTAGCTACAGGATATGAAGTGTTGCCTGATGTCGATCTCGATGCAGCTGTCATTTTCGTTCGAAAATATGAGAATGATAATAAGATGGTTCAGGGCTATCTCTTAAGTCACATGTCAAACAAACTCTTCAACATGTTTCTTAAGGAGCTAAGCGCGAAGGTTATTTGAGACACGCTCAAGAAGAAGTATGGCACAGACGATGCAGGTATCAAGAAGTATGTTGTCAGAGAGCGGCTCAAATTCCAAATGACGGACGCCAAGCCGATCATAGATCAAGTCCATGACTATGATAACCTCGTTTCCAATATTCTGGCAAAAAAGATGCATATGTGTGAGGTGCTCTAAGCAAATGTTCTGATTGAAAAACTCCCCAAGTCATGGTCCGACTATCATAACTTGGTCAAACACAAGAAGAGGGATGTTTCGCTTCAGGAATTGGTAGGCCATATGAAGATTAAAGACCACAGAAAAGATAAGGTGACGAATAATTTTAGTCAAATGTCTTTTAAGTCTAACTTGGTTTAATATGATGGTGCCTCAGGGTCTAAGTTCAAAAAGATCGAAAAAGGGGTTTCAAAACAAAAAGATAAAACCACAGAAAAACACCAACTTCAAGAAGCCAGCCAAGATCAAATCTGACGGAAGGAACCTGAAGTGTTATGTATGCAGTCAAGCCGATCACAAGGCGTACCAATGTCAACACCATTCAGATCGCGGAACGAGAACAAACCACATCTGAACATGATGGAGGAAAATATGGAGTGTCATAGTCACAGTGGTTTCCGAAGTCAATTTGGTGGACAACATTTCTGAATTGGTCGTAGACACTGAGTTCGATGATGAAAACGACGGTAAACGTGTGTACATGGGAAATTCTAACAGCTCTGAAGTGTTAGGCAAAGGCAAGACTTTACTTAAACTGACATTCGATAAAACTTTAGCGCTTATCAATGTCCCGTATTTTATCATAACACTCGATATTTATCTATTAATTTCTCGATACTTTCTTGCATGATAAAAAGACACAATACCAGTTTGGTCTTTGTGGGGACTTCATTGGGCCTTTGCTCCCCAAGACCAGGACCTCTGATGGGTTGAGTTTGGATAAACACTGATTTTGGATTAATGTCCTTGCAAATACTATAGCAAAAAGGGCCATTGTCCTTTCTTTCTCAAATGAGAGGATATACAAGGCCGTTAATTCTATAGTTTGTGAATATTATTTTTGTTTTTCTTAACCTTCTCTATTTATCTTCTAATCGATTAATTCAGATCAAGTACTTCAGAAATTTATAAGAACTTTATTAAGTTCATAAATCAAGTCGGGTTAGATTTTTGGCCGACTTGAGCATTCTACATAGGGGTGGCAACGGGCCGGGTTCGGGCTGGGTATTGGTCCCCCCGTCCCCGTTTACAAAAAAACATACCCGTCCCCGCTTAAAAAATCACGGGGATTTAAACGGGGATCCCCATCGGGTAATCGAGGAAAACCGCGGGGAAATGAGTATCCCCGTTTAGCACAAACGGTTATTTAAACGGGTATCGGGCCGGGTATATATATTTAAATTAAATATATAAATATTATATATATATATATATATATATATATATATATATATATATTCTTTTTAATATTTATCGGGCCGGGTAATCGGGTAATCGGGACGGGGATTACTAAACCCGTCCCCGTCCCCGTTTAACATAAACGGTTTTTCCCCGTCCCCGTTTAGCATAAACGATTTTTCTCCGTCCCCGTTTAATTCGGTTTTCCCCGTCGGATTCGAATTTTTTTACCATCCCTAATTCTACACCTCCACCCATCACCCGATCCGACCTGTATTTAGAGAGGTTCCACCTGACCTGAAACCCAACACAAATTTTGGAATAAAAATCTACATCCAACCTGACACATGCATACACACATATATATGTTCTATTTTTATTAGAAAAAACAAGGACTTAATGAAAATATATAGAGGGGTGTTATTGTAAGTATCCATAAATTTATAAGAGATAGTTATACTATTTTCTTGAGTTGAGTATTTTTCACCTAAATTCAAATTTTACTCGAATTAACATTGTCGTTAAAAAATCCGACTAGAACTCGATTTTTTCAAGTTTTATATATACCTATCTATATTTTCAACCGATTTACTCCATTTATAATATTAAAATTCAAACCTTGCATTAGCCAGATTTGGAAAAAGAATTTTGTACTTTAAGGTCAAACTCAAATAAAATAACAATTATTTCATATATTGACGGTGAAGAAATTATTTTAGACATAAAATTATATGATTGTCATGATGTATAGAATAAAATTAAAATTACATATTACAAGTTCAGAATCGACACCGTACGAACAGTTAAACAACCAGAAGCATAGGAAAGGAGATGGACAAGACACAGAGAAACCATGGCCATAGGAAGAATGCATGGTGCATAAAAAAAGAAAGCAACCCAACATACTAAACATGATGACGTAGGGCCTTATTGAACCTGAGATATCAGGCACATGATTTACATTACCTGGTTCTGGTTTATGTGATTGTCCAAACCTTACCTAAGAAAACTATGCATCGAGACGAGACGGGTTCCGATGCCTGGCTCGTTTTTATCGTCCGAGGTCGACCACGAACCGATCTGATAAGTGATGCAGACAGGTCCTCGATGGTCAGTGCCCAAATCTTGATTTTGGTCATATTGTTTAGGACCACCATATTTAAGTTCACTGCCTTAAGTTGCCGACTCAACCGTCGTGGTCGTCGAACTCGAACTGCCCACTTGCTGATCTCCTCCGAGTTGATCCATCAAACTCAAAGGTGGCTCTCAAAAGAAAGGAAAAGAGCTACAAGCAACATCATGAAAACGCCAATGCCATCATCATCATCATCATCAAACTCAACCACATGCACCCATCACCCATGACATGAGGTGCTTGGGATTTTGTTTAGATATGGAACCCCAATATGTAGAAATGAGTATTGAACCATCCAACACCTCAAAAGAGGATAAAGTTGGAGCGTACAGTGCATCAAATATTCATTAGCTTGAACCAAATGTATATGTATAATGAACGCGATTCATGACATGTTTAGGTGGGACATAAATATCAAAGAGAGTACATGACAAACCCACGATTTTATGTTAAGGGTGAATTTAAACTTACAAAATTTTAAGAACCGAAAATAAATTTTCAATAAAGATACATATAAAATCTAAAATATATAGTAATTCTAAATTTTTTAAGAAGATGGCCGCCTCCATCCTCCTCCGCCTAGGTCCATACCCGGACCAAAGGGCAAAAACTTGTGTACCCATCAGGCTTGTTAGTTGACTATTTGGTAACTTAGATTTGATACATCGACATTCATCCTCTAATTGATTTATTATATCTTTGTATTTTAATCATTTATCGTCATTATTTTTTTTATTTTGATCACTGAAGCGTTAAATCAATTTTTATAAAAACGAAAATAAAAATGATGCCAAATAATAGCCATTGATTCCCAGGCCCAAAAGCAAAAAATGTAGACCCCATGACTTCCCCAAAGAGGGGACAGACAGATATCATTTGGACCAAAGTTAATTTATTTTTACATATCAGTCAATGGGTAACTTAGCAAGCAATTAATTAGTGCCTTCATAATCAAAGAATCGATTCATGAAAGAGTGGCTTACAGCACTAACAATAAAAATGTGGGTTCTACCATATTTACAAGATTTTAACTCCAAATATTATTTAAAAAATATTTAATTTTTTATTATTCGATTCAGATATTCGAATATAGAAAACGGGGTCGGTTAAAGAGCACCTTCATCATATTATATAATTAGACATAGACGGTGAAATTGATTATCATTGCTATTATAAAGCCTACTCTTACCATTACTCTCAATCATTTCAAACTAGTTCCCTCCTTGTACAATCTCACACATCAACAATGTCTGTTGCAGGATATTCAGACCCTGACAGAATGTTCAACAGGTCGTTCCACCGTAGGAACGACTCCAGCGAGCTCGACGTGTTCGAGGCTGCACGGTATTTCTCGGGGTACAACGATGCGGGTAGCGGCGGCTACTACAATTGCGCGACGTACAGTGAGAGGATCATGCGGGACGAGAGGCAGCAGCAGCAACCGTGTAGGGGAGGTAGGGTCAGCTTGGATGTGCATGTGCCAATGAGACATCACCCCATTGTTCAACCGGCACATGTGGTGGAGAAACAGATCATCAAGGAGAAGAAACACAAGCAACCGAGCTCCCCTGGTGGTAAACTCGCTAGCTTCTTGAACTCTCTTTTCAACCAGACGAGCTCGAAAAAGAAGAAATCGAAATCGACCACGCAGCCCATGAAAGATGAAGAAGAGAGTCCCGGTGGAAGGAGGAAAAGACGGATCAGCATTAGCCATTTCCGTAGCTCGAGCACGGCGGATACCAAGTCGATGTACTCGTCTTCGAATTCGGGTTTCAGGACACTGCCGCCCTACGTGCACACGCCCGCCAAAAGCTACAAGGACTTGAAAAGCTGTCTAGATCATAAACAGCAGGCAACATCATCTATGTCAAAGAACAACACAACAGCTTTACAAAATGATGCAACGGACTATTCTTGGTTAGATGAGAAACTCAAGTTAATCGATGACTATTCGGAAAACAACAGACTAGGAATCAATCCGATCGATATCAAACAGAGAAGGATTACAGAAAGTCCCGCGAGGTCGATGACGGTGCGGATAGCGATTCCAGTTCTGATCTGTTCGAGTTACAGAACTATGATCTAGGCATCTACTCAAGTGGTTTACCTGTGTATGAAACAACACATATGGACAGCATCAAAAGGGGAGCACCAATTTCCAATGGTGCACTATGAGACTAATACATTTTTCAACTTCTTGTTGATGATGATGGGTTCCATTTGTTTCCATTGCCATTGGAGGACACTAGATTCTGCTTTGTCTTTTTTCTCTTATTGCTAGCTTCTTTGAAAGTTCTTTGAATGCTTTTTTGTTATTTCCTCTGTATGTACAGTTTGGAATGTTTGTTTGTCTTCACTTTCTCTGTCTTTTTTTCCTTTCCTTGAAGCTAGCTCGGTTCGATCCGGTTCGAAAAATTTTATACGATCGGTAAAAATCTATAAAATGGATTGCTTAGATTGTTCCATGATTGATGATGATGATTTCTCCATTCTATCAATGGAGGGAAACATCTGCAAAAAGCGATCATCATTCCCATGATGAGGATTATAAATTCTAATCTCTTACTTTGGACCATTAACAATCATAGGCTAATACATTAATTAATACTTTCCTACATGTACGTGAGATGCCTTTTTCTCTGCAATAACGCAGAATAGTGGGTTGAACAGTAGGAAAGTTAAAAAGCACAGATGGAAGGTAAAATGATGTATGGATGTCATGTCATGTCATGTCATCCCAACACGTTCACCCTAACCCCCAAATTATAAGGAGTTCTGATTAAAAACCAAACAAATTTGTCTAATCAAACAACTAACATTTGTTCATATATCATAGATTTTGCAGTTCAAGCAAATGAACAAAAACCCTAACTACATGATCCATGAAGAATAAACTTTTGTACATATATGGATAAGCTTTGTCCAAAAAGAAAATCATAGCTAATCATATGTTTATACCCTAAACATTTGCCTACACAAAGTGGGGTTGACCTTAAACATGATCGAATGATGGGTTTTGCCGTAGTTAGAGGTACATGGATGATGAACCCTATTGATAGCATTTAGTGAAAATGATGGATAGGGGGCACAAAAGAACCCTATCGAAGGGCACGATCCCCCTACAAATGATACATGAGGCACCAAAAGGAATCCACCACATAGCCTGCAGGACGGGGCCCTTGCATTGCCTGCGAAATTTTCAAAGTAAAAACAATGTGATTACCATGTTTGATACTAGAGAAAGAGGAGACAGAGACAAAAGCTAAGCTTTTTCTTTCTTTTAGGCAAATGAACAATCATTCATTGTAAACAAAAAGCTGATATAACAACTTACCAATCTAGAACGATATCCCTGCGAGATTAACTCCATTAATCTTCCCGTTTAATTCACCTAAAAAGTTCATTTCCGAGCCGGTATCGGGGACCTTATTTCCGAGGCGTGCGAAGGGGCTTACTGAGAACGGTTTAATGACCGATTATGATTATCAGAACAAGATCCGGATTGCTCTGCAGATCAGAAATCATTGTGTTGCATGTTTATCACAAACAACATAATCAAGCATCTTGTATAAGAACCCTAATGATACATTCCTAGTAAGCATGATGTTGGCTTGTCAACCAAGGAACCATCTTTGCTAATAAATATGGACGAAGTCGAGCGTCTAATTAGAGACGGCAGCCAAGACAAGTTCAAGCTAGTTGCTCCACGTGGATGGATGACAGATACACTACTATGCACAACTATAATTATGAAATGTACTTTTTACTAGTCAATTACGGGAAAAATATAAATTCAGAATTTTTTTAACATTGACAACGTATGATTCGAACCCGAGACTTTTAAAAAATCATTATTATTTTTACCTCTGAATACACTAAATGAATTAAATCATTGAGATGCATAAGTTATCTACTTAAAAATAAAAAAATCAAGTAAAAGGATAAAATCTAACCATACTGGAAAATGACATCATTATCTGCAGTAAAAAATAAACATTGTCGACAGTGAAAGATGAAATTGTCAACACCTATTCATGGTTGTGAACACCTATTGATATCGAGCCTGAAATTCTAAAATAATAATCAATTTATATAATAATCAACTAAATATTACATAAATATTTATAAATTAAATTTAGGGTAAAATATATAAATAGTCCCTTGACTATAGTGTATTATTTTATTAAGTTCGATGATTATTAAAAGTTACAAAATGATCTCCTAATTATAAGATTTTTTTTAAGTCTCAGCTATTAAAAGTTACAAAATGATCGTCCCACTATTCATTGTGTTCTAAACTCGTTCTTTTTCGTTAAAAAAACTAATGGTAGTTTGAGTTGGACATTAACTTGCTGACTGGGATATGATAGCCGTTTGAGATTTTGGATTCGTATTATATCATATCTCAGTTAGTAAGTTAATATTCAACTCAAACTTCCCTCAATTTTTTAACGGAAAATTACGAGTTTGAAAGACAATGAATAGTCTGATGACTATTTTGTAACTTTTTAATAGTTAAAGATTTAAAAAGGCAATATCTTATAGTTGGGGGAAAATTTATAGCTTTTAATAATCAAAGGACTTAATAAAACACTACCCACCATTTATGTTTTTTACCCTTAAATTTAATATGGTTTAGATTTAAATATAATCAATATTTTCATGACTATAATAGAGGCGGGTCGGCTATACTTAGGGATGACAACGGGTTGGGTATTGGTCTCTCGTTTCCGTTTAAAAAATTTATACCCGTTTTCGTTTAAAAAATCGCGGGGATTTAAACGGGGATCTCCATCGGGTAATCGAGAAAAATCGCTGGGAAACGGATATCCCCGTTTAGCATAAACAGTTATTTACACGGGTATCGGGCTAAGTATATATATTTAAATTAAATATATAAATATTATATATATATATATATATTAATTTAAATTAAATTTATTAATATTATATATATATATAATAATTATTTTTAATATTTATCAGATCGGGTAATCGGGGCGGGATTACCAAACCCGTCCTCGTCCCATTTAGCATAAACAATTTTTTCCCATCTCCGTTTATCATCCCCGAACCCGACCCTTTAATTCAATTTTCGATTTTCTCCGTCGAATTCGAATTTTTTTTACCATCCCAGCTATACTAATAAAAAGCCTGTCAAATATTGCAACTGTAAGTAATGGACCACAAATAAAATATTGAAGTTTAATTGATTATTTAAGTTCCTCAGCAAATTAATCTCTCTATTAAAAAACTAAATTTGTAAATAAAATAAAGTTTTAATTAAAAAGTTTTAATTTTTTTTCGAAAGTATATTATAAAAATTCTGTAAACTCTTTAAAACTTCACCATGAAGTCCTATTTATAATACCCATATATTCCATTATCTCCTTCATGCCAAACCAGTCTTTTAAATATATTTAGGGTAAATTACACCGATTATCGTTGAATTTGACGATCTCTCTTATTTCACTCGTTGAATTTAAATTCATTAAATTTTCTCACTAAACTTAATACATTTGATTTTTTTGTCACTCCGCCTTTTTCTTACTAATTGTGTTATAAATTAGATGTTATATAGATGCAAAACTACGTTGTTTTAATGAAAATTTCGTTTTCTAAAACGACAACATTTTAACGCCGTTAACTATTTAATGACGGGAAAAAATCAAATGTATTTAGTGAGAAAATTAAATGAATTTAAAGTACAGCGAGTGAAACATGCGAGAGAGTAAAGTTCAGTGATAATTTGTGTAATTTATCCATCTATTTATGAAGAATTTTTTGACAAAATTACTATAATTATAAAATAATATTTGTTTTAAATAATTTTAATCGTTTTACAATAAAATCTTAATTACTTCTGTCACAATTATTGGTGTTCGAATTTAAAATATCTAAAAATAACAATCATTCTTATGACTACCAAGATAATTTCATTTGTGCCCAAAATTCAACCTATGCATGTATACATACATACGAAATGACCATCCAGTTCAGTTGGTAGAGTACAAGGTTCTTAATTTTGAGGTCGTGGGATCGAGTCCCATAGAGGGCATTTTTCATAATTCGGATGTCTCCTACGGAAGCTGCTCTTAACTTAGTTTGAGGCAACCTACTATCTTACCTCACCTTACCCCATTACATATGGGAACAAGAGACAATCATATATATGTATACATACATGTATGTATGTATGTGCAAAATGCAAAGTTGAGTGGATTGTTTTTTCATAAAGCAAATTGCAGCTTTTGACTCACATTAATGGCTTTGGCAAGGAGATTAGACTGGTGATGGGGACATATGCGTCTTCCTCCTCATGAGTGCTTCATGTATGCCCTTTTCTATTTTAATTTTTATATAAAATAACAGACATTGATGAAAATATAAAATAATTTATTTTAAATTAATAAATTTTTATTTTAATATTAACATATTCAGTTTAAAAAATTTTAAAAATTAAAATTAATTTTTTTAAAAAAAATTGAAAGTCAAAATTATCATTAACCCTATAAAAAAAATTGAAAGTCAAAATTATCATTAACCCTATACAAGGATTGTCAAAGATAAAGTCGGTCATCGTCATCTTGTCTTAAAGAGTATTAAATTGCATTGGCATGTAGTGGTCCTAAACCCTAAACAAATGAAATAATAAAAAATTGGGTTAAATGCAATTATTATCCTCAAACTTTTCCATTTTCACTTTGCCCCCACTTAATACATTTATCGATTTACTCCTAAAGTTGTAAAATGTTATTATCAATTCATCGTTACTTTCCTTATAATTAAATAATATAATATAGGATAAATTATATATTTATTATCTAAACTATCAGTTTTGGTCCATTTTAGTATTTAAACTTTCATTTTTTTTCAAAATCGTACATAACGTTTAGTTTTTATTTTATTTTAGTACCCTCAGTTAAAACAGTTAAAAACTTAACTTGTTTAGTACTTAAATTATCAGTTTTGGTCATTTTTTATACTTAAACTTTCATTATTTTCAAAACTTAACTTTAAATTTTGTACGGATGTACTAAAATGATACAAAAACTAAACTTCATATGTGGTTTTGAAAAAAATGAAAGTTTAAGTACCAAATGTATAATTTTCCCTGTAATACTATTAGAAAGTATATGGTGATATGATAAAAAAAAACACCATATGAGAATAACGTTCATTTTGTTTGAAAATATATAAAAGAACCTAACTTTTAAAAAAGAAATACTTTAGGGGGTAAAATAAGAAACGTGAACAGTATTGGGGATAACATATGTATTTAACCCTTAAAGGTTTAAGAAAATGAAAGGTATCTTTCAAAGTTGGTTATCTGGTTCCGGAGATGGCAACGGGTCA